AGAACATTGAGGATGAAGGAGATGCCCACAAGTTTTACCAACTATCCCGGATGTCGGTTCTCTGGTCTTGCTTAGGGTCCGGATCCTATAGAGAACCCCGCTTGCAAATATGTCCTACTTGCAAAAGCTGAGGACCCTAAAGGAAAACTAAAGGTGGAGTCCCTCACCGAGAAAAACGAGAACAAAACGAGAAAAAAACCCTCACCGAGAAAACACCCACTCCATCGCTTCCATTGCTTTGGATCTAGCCTCCGTGAACGCCAGCCGCATCGTCTTTGGCAAGTCGATATCTGGCGTGCGGAGATGATCGGCTGCTAACATCCAAGCAGTACCTTCCTCTTCAACGATGCAATCTTCCAGATTCCAGGATGCTTGCAGGATTTTAGTTGGTTTTTTCTTTTTGGCGCGCAAATGGTAGAATGTTTGAGGGAATTTCTGTAAACACTTTTATATTTTATATATGCTATGCCATGGGTCACCCCTCCGTTATATACATACATCACCTGTTAAACATGTTGCCCTTTCAGCCTTCCCGGATCTCCCCGGCCACCGCCAGAAAAACAACCCGCCTTCGACTGCATGAACAAATCATCCTCACCATCCCCAGGGCCATCGTGTCATCGTGGCGCTTCTGTGAGTCTGTGAGTGAAAAAGTTATTGTGTGCCGTGTAATGTCAGGAAACTTGCCAGTCAAAAGGGGCGTCGATGCTATCGAAATTGTTTCTTCACAAAACTAATGTGGTCTTTGTGCGCCCGGAGCCTTAAGCCATGGTTCAATGAACCTCCTGGCGGTGAGAAAAGAAAATCATTTTCACGACTCTGTGTGAGCCTAGCTGGACTCCTTACAGCTTGCCCACCTTGCAGCTTACACAACCACAACCACAACCACACAAGCACAATCACAAATAACACAATCACAAACACACAACCACAAACACAAACACAACCGCAAACACACAGCCACAGCACACAACCACAACACACAACTAGAAAAAAAAACAAGTACAATCACAAACACACATTCACAAAGACAGAGCCACAAACACAACCACAATCACAACCCCAAACTCATCCAGAAACGCACAACCACAAACACAACCACAAACACATCCACAAACACACAACAGCCACAACACACAACCACAACACACAACCAGAAATACATCCACAAACACACAATCACAACCACGACCACAAACACACAAGTACAATCACAAGCACGCAACCGCAAAGACAACCACAACACACAACCACAAAGACACATTTACAGCACACAACCACAACACACAACCACGATCACAGCACACAACCCGAGGACCCACAAACAAAGTCGGGAACCACAAAACTCACGACCATGGCAACATGCTCCTCACCATGGCATGAAGACATGCTTTGTTTTGATTTTTAAAACGTCATGATGGGGATCACTCGAAGTAGAGCAATTCCTTTGTTTTTGGTTGATATCTTTTTAAATCCTTTTGATTTCTTTTGAATACCCTTTAAACTCTTTAGTTGATTTCTTTTTGACTGACTCCCTCCTTAAATCTTGTCAAAGTATTGCAAAACTCAATTCAACACAGGGGGTAGCCTAGTACAGAAAAGCAGCTGACTAGAAGAGCGTATGAAAAGTGGAAGAGCTGAAAACCAGGAACAGGTAGATCATGGGGGGGTGAAAAAATATACATATATAGATGTGCTCGGTGTGACACTTGGAACACTGTCTCTCACTCAGCAAGCAGTTGACAGTGCTCGCCCTGTGTGGTAACACCACTCACCTGGGGCTGGCAAACCCTGAATCAAAGCTGCCAGACCACTTTTCCTTGAGAAACCCAACGGATCCAACAGCAGAAACTGCATGTCCAGTGATTTTCAGTTCATCTCAATTCCACGACTCACGAGTTTTAGAAGTTCAACGACCACTTCTTCCAGGTCTTTCCAGTGTTTGCTTTCCGACCACGAGCACCGCCCCTCCAAGCCCGTTACGATTGTGAAACCCTCAGCGTCCTCGATGACCAAGAAAGGCGCACGAGGGTCAATGCCATCTGAGAGATACAGCGGATCAACCGCAAAGAAACCCCCGGTGGTCCCAATACTCAAGAGCTACACTCCTGCCCAACAAAAGACATATGGAAGTGGAATAAAAAGGTCGTGGAAGATCATGTTTTTCGTGTTGTTGTTCTACGAAGAGGTTGTTTTCCACTTCCATGTGAATGACTTGGAGAGCTAAATTATCTGGCTCTTCTATGGTTCTTCATATCGATGGTCAAACAATGTCAGTGCACTTCTTTGAAAACGACATGCATGACATGCATGGTGCATGTTGAGGAGATGGATTTGATGTGTGATCGTTGACTGGACCTTGCGGGACTATGCCGGAGAAATATGCGGGAGCGACGAAACAAACAATTGCATGATTGATGGCTTCAACTCACTTGACAAAGTTTCGTCAGTGGGTTCAATGATCCCAAGTAGAGGTATTAAAAAAAAACAACAACAAACAAACAACAACAACAAAGGTAAAACACATGTATAAACATTAAAAAAATAACAAAGGTATCTGACCCCCACGGTAGTGCGAAATGGTTCGAAGAGTTCATCCACTGGTGACATTGAAAAGGCACCATCATCGCCGTGTCTGGGTGCGAAGTTGGGCGATCGAACTGGCGATCGAACTGGCGATCGTCATGGATCACAGATGGAAACAACTATGTGATCCAGGTGGAAAAGGGATGAGCTGAAGCCGGCTGTTGCAGAGTTTCTGTGGAAGATACTGGTTTCACTAGAGGTGAGATGTGAACATCACCAACTCTCAGCGCGGCGAATCATAAACACTGATGATGAGGTTCTCTGACTCACTCCTCACTCACTCACTCACTCACTCACTCACTCACTCACTCACTCAATCAATCAATCAATCAATCAATCAATCAACCAACCAAGCAATCAATCAATCAATCAATCACCTCTCAGCTCATTCACAGTTATTAATTATTCATCTTTTCACGACTTCAGCAGGCTTCACCAGGAGCTCAGCTCAACTACCCTGGATCCAGGACTCGCCCACTCGCCTTCGGCGCATCGACGCACGATGTCGCGCCAGATCAACCTCGCTGCTGGAGACCGGTGGATGCTGCGGTCGACAAAGCTGAACACCAAAAGAGCTGCTGAAAAGGATTCTAACCATTCCCTGGCTCAGTGGATGATGATTAGGTTGCAGACCTTTCCATCTCCAAAATAGTGATAGTCCTTTATCGACTGTTACAGGTCATGGGACACACACTAACCATCCTATACCATTACCATACCTAAACACTTCTTGGACGAGATGCAGTGTTCGTGGAGGTTTGACATTCAAGGGATGGGTTTTGCATTCTTTGCTGTGATGCAGCGATGCAAAGCATGGCAAGTTTTATGGCCAAAATATTGGGGAGTGGTTCTCTGTAGAATCAATAATAGAAAACAATAAATTCCAGGAGCTCCGCACTGGTACGTGACAAGCCTAGTTGGAGTCAAGCAAACGTCAAGCAAGTGGCATGTGCTGTCACCCTATATACCCTAGGGCTCCAACCACCTCCTGAGAAGATGGCTAGGGTGGGTGCCAGCGGGGTCTCACCACCGAAACTGAGGAGATGGTTGGAGGCCTAGGGGATTGTTTGATAATAATATGCTCCAAGGAGTGAAGCACAAGGAGTGGATCTGGAATCACTGGGATCTTGATACGCACGGTGGATCCTCTTGGACCAAGTCTTTCGATCGGACTACCAGTGACTACCAGCCTGCTGAAACAGCATCGCCGCTACGCCCAAAACGACAGGCACTCCAATCTCTTCATAGGAGGGTTTGGGACATGAATTGCACATGATGTTGCTTGCAAAAGGGGATTCACCAAATTAATCTGCTTCAAGGTCCAGGTGATTTCTGTATATATATATATATATTGGTGCAGGGGTATCACCTTTTTCTGAAACCCAACAAAACGCGCAACCGATGATGCCAAGGCACATGTGTGAGAGCGCGCAGCCAATGGCGCCTGCTGTCAAGTCGGTGCCAAACAGCTTCCTGTTCGAAGGCGCACGCCAGAGCGTGGTGAGCTCTGTTTGTCAAGGCGCTTAGCCATCTATCTTAGCTGGCAAACATTGTGAGAACTGCATCTTTAGGATGGATTCAGGTTCGAAGTGGTTGGAGTATATAGTTATTTCTATTTCCGTTGATCATTTGTTTCACGATGTTTTTCGGATTGTGGGATTGTCCCAAACTTGAGGCGCCCCGACGCAATGATGCAAGATGGCGCAGGTATTTTCTGTCAGCCAAACTGAAAAAACAAATTATCTGAACCAGTGGGTCGGTGCTGGGACAAAACCACATGCCAAAAGCATAGCTCTGTTAAGTTGTTTGGTGCTTCCACCACGTCCATTCCTGTCTATGAGGGCATCAACTATTCACAAACACTCCATGACTCCAGAAGATTTGTACCTCTGGGTGGTTTCAAGGGTCAGTCTAGGTACTCTGGATAGTCCATAATTGGACCTTTGTCAAAACCAGTTGATTTAAAGGGGAGAAAGCAGAAACATCGGGTTTTCTCACACACATTCTGAAATACATCGGGTTTTGTCAAACAAACACAAGGCTTTGGCAAAACCATATATGCTTAGATATTCTTAGCATTTCTTTATCAACTTGAATGGGCGTCCGTTTGTGCCTGAGATCCAATTGCATTCCTCCACTCAGCTCCCATATTGTACAAAAATAATCGAACATAACAATTGACATATAATTCATAGAAAGTGTCTGCCAAAGATCTTGATACATGAGAATGAGGTTAGTAAGACATAACAGGTGTGGTGGATTTCACCCCGTGCTATGCCCTTACTTTACCGTACTTTTTAACAAATACCTCGGGCCCTCGGGAATTTGAACAACATGATGTTTTCCAACCCGTGCCAGACCCGTACTTTACCCGTGCTAACCCGCGATTGTTGATTGGTTTTTGCAGGTTTTCCCGGAGAATTTGTTGACTGATTTTTCTTAACCCTTTACACTTACACGGTGTTGCTTACACTTACACGTTCTTAACCCTTTACACTTACACCAAGTTACACCTTGTTTTGGTTGATACAAACCCGAACACTTAAAAACAAAGATGTTTGTTTGCTTGTTGCTATAATCTATGTTGGGAGGCCTTCCAATGGGTAGTTGAAGGTTGACAAATTCAGCAGTAGCCTCAAGCCATGCGTGACTGTGGGCGGAATGGTGATGAGAAAGCGGTCAGTGAACATCCTGAAACACTTCACTAATTTGTTTTCCAATCAAATATGGTCATTAATTTTCACTGGCCCCTTTTAACATCTTTTAAATAACGTGTCTTGTTGCTTCATGGAGTCAGACAGGGATAACGCCATCCGCTCCCCAAAGCTGGACCGGGGTGGGTCGCCCATCGTATGGCCGGCTTCTATCCCATGTGAGGTTTAGCCCTGTTCCAGTGTGGCGAGCTTTGACTCCTTGGAATGCTGCGGCTTGATGTGACGTTGCAAAGTTCAAAGGACTCACCTGTCTGCATTCATCGTAGAATTCAACAGGAATTCAACATACAGAAACATCGGCAGGAAAACGAGGGTGGATTTACCCAACTCGAGGGTGTTTTCCTGTAGGTTTTCCTGTCGACAACTCCAAGGAATTCACAGGTAGGGTCTTCCTGCACCGTAGCTTGAGACCGGCAATTCAACATTGTTTAATTACCATCTCTGGCTCTACATTCAGTCTATCACTTTAATCAACTTTTTTGGCATCCTTCCAAAAAGCACAACCATCTGAGTGTGTACGGAAATAGGGAGTATTAAACAAACACAACTGTCTCTGGTGCGAATAGTTGTCCACATCTTTTTTTCGTGGCGAACGCTGGCAAATCACACACGCAAAACCGCGAGAGAGCAAGGCACTGTTCGTCCGGCAGGTAGTAGCGAGGCAAAGCTTCCATGGCAATGACCCCGTTCCTGGCGTAGTCTCACTGGAACAGCCGAGTCGTTCAGCCAACGTGTTGACCCTTGAGTCCTTGGGCCCATTTGGACCCTCTCCCCCAACCAGGATGGTGAAACACCGACTTGTTCGGGTCCATTATATAATATCTATTGGTTAGTCAACATGTATCACATGCACTCCTTGCTGATTCACTGTTAAGATCATGAACTGGGAGTGGACCCACATGGGCCCACATCCCAACGAGGAGTCGCGAGGACCCACTTTACTCGAGATTTTGGGTGCGACAAACACCTGGTCTGCGGGCAGTTGTTAGCCAGGTGAAAATGTTTTATACTGGATGATTGTAATCCCCACTGGTCACCATCAATAGCTGGGGCTGCCATGGTCGCAGCTCACCACAGCTCAACGCAGTATAGCTGGAAGTGACTGAGCGGAGCCATAACGTGACCCGAGATTCCAGAATGCTGGGAGTCAAGGACCTACTTGGAATTGTGTGGCTTCCTTTTCAGAACCAAGCACTCTCGATTCACCGTCAAAATGGAAGGCTTTGTGAAAAAATGATATATATATATATATTATACAATACTATACTAGTCGTGTACTGTATGTACCTAATATATACCTAGACCTGCGGTAGGCTGTATGTTTTTTAAGACTCTCTTTAAGGACTCTCTTCCATCTGAGATGGAAAAATCCCATAATGTTGATTCCTGATGAGCAGACTTTGTCAAATCATGTACAGCAACTCTACACCTGCTTTGACCCCCATCCTTTTCATGTCCAGTCCTGGCTGGAGGGGTTCCCAGATGGCAGGCACGGTTCTTTATTGTGGAACCCCTTCAAGAGCCCAAGGTAGCTTTAACGAGGGTACCAAAAGAAGTGCCTGTTAAAGGCATGTCCTCAGTAAGCAAACATAAGCAAACAAAGACATTCTCTGTCGAAGTCTTGGAGCTTTGTTTGTTGCAGCACGCGCAACCCGTCCCCCAACGAACAGCTCCAAAGTCGACCCTGAAGCCGCTCCACGTGTAACACAGGTGCAGGAAGCAACAGACCTGACCTAATTCCTTATAAGGTATTAGACCTGGCTGGGTCGTGCCAAACAGGCTCGAACCTGTTAACACATCAAACATGAGTTTGAATGAATTTGTCATCCCCGATGACACCGATACGGCGTGATATTATGTTGCGACAGTTCCGCATCGTATTGCGTCGGCTTCCGCGTTGTGCTTTTAACCTCTGTTTTATTCTTTTTCGGGTCTTTGCCTTTTTGGCTTGTGGTGTTGTGTTTTTGGGCTTTTGCGTTGTGTGTTCAATCGTTGCATTGGTTTTTGTATTTTTTCAGCTCTTCCAGCTTCAATCAACATAACACAAACATAAACTGACTAAGATGTGCAATACACTCTGCAGAAAAGGACAAACCTGAGAGTTCGTGCGTTGAACATATACTGTTACTTTGATATGTTCCAAATCTAGCCTTTCAAGCTTGAAGGTGTCACTTCTTAAAGGCAACATATTGAAAATATCAAAGCAAAAATCTTTTTGCAACGCACTCTCAGGTTTGTCCTTTTCTGCTATGATATGTTCTAATTTGACCTAAAGTGGAAGGACTTTCTTCCACAGCTGGCACCCGCAGAGAGTGCCAAACCATAAAGGTGGTGAACTAGGCGCCTCATATGGGCAGCATCCCAACAATCCCCTCACTCCCTGCGTTGAAAAGGTGCTATGGAATCTCCATCGAAGATTGCGGTGGACTTTATGTTCAACTTTTTTCCTTGTGATTGGCATGTGATTTCTCATTTAATTACGATCTTTCATGCCAAACCCCGTCTCACATTCAGCTTGTCAAGCCACATATATGCAGGGACTGGAGTCAAAGAGCTTGTTGAGCTGCACATGTTTTCAGGCAAACCTGAAAAGGTCAAGTAAACCTCCAGGTATGCATGGTTTAAACTTTCAACCCAAATAGTCTTCAGGGAACCTGAAAGTGAAACCTCATTCAAACTTCACCAGGGCACGTACGATACAATGTTTTGCGGCTTCCAGGCTTCAAACCGTTGGACTGGATCCCCCAAAATCCGGGTAAGGTTCAACATATGAAGCCAGAATTCTGCCACTGCCTTCTGCCGGCCTTTGTTGCTGGTTGCGTGACCCTTTGCGAGTGTAATAAATAGACTCAGACATGTCATGTTCCAGCGAGTTTCTTTTTGTGTTCTTCAAGAGGGCGCAAGATGCACCGAGGCGAAGAGGACAACAAACATGAGTTGCGTGTGGTACAGAATTGTTGTCCTCTTGTTCCTTTTGCTCATCATTCACAGCGGAACTTGGACGTACCCTCTAAAATGCTGAACCAAGTTGTGCCGTTAGAACACGTGATACACATGTACCCCAAAAAAACTGAACACCTTTGTTCAACTCTCAAAGCCCATAACTTATACAACTGTGCTCTTCTTTATACTATTTAACATCATCCCTCTTTCCTTCCCCAGCCACATTCCCCACATGCAGCCATTCCCTCCATCTTCCGCATGGCGAGCTGCATGGCGAGCTCTGGCACATCCAGCTCCCGACCGTTCACAGCACTGAAGCGTTCCACAGGCATCTTCAGCTGCAGAAACTGCCGTTGCATAAAGTCCCATCGCTCTTTCCGATGGTCCAAGTTCCTGGGAGGCTTAAGGCCCACACAACAAAGGCTTTTAGAAGATGACATATACGAACATGCGTAACAAGAACAAAACAACTCACCTTTAAACTTGATCAGCGTTTCGCTTTCCGGATCCACATACCTTCGGAGAACATACGACCTCTTCGCCTCTTCGCCTCTTCGAGGGTCTGGAGACTCACGACGGGCGTGTTTGGGACGGGGACGCTGTCGCCAGCTCAGCTCGGCCGATCCATGCCGATCCGAAAGAGAGGCCGTTGCAGTCTGCCACCCCAAACATACATTCTACATGGTTTTAATAATAGTTACTCCCCAGCAAACTAACATGGAACTAACATGTTGACCAGTTTTCCAGACGATTGGAACCTCTACAACCCAGTGGTTTGGGGGTTCTATGTTCGTCTGGGGAGTATATATGTGAAAAGAACACCCGAATCACCTCAGGTGAATCTCAGCAAGGCTCATGCAGTAGACATGTGCCAGGCTTTTCCAGCCAATCTCGGCAGTGGCCAAGGTCTCCACAGATTCTGCCACACGGGTTGCAGCACTCCTGCCACGCGGCCAGAAGCCACCGCGCCGCGGCCGAGATCGAATGAGGTCCGACCACAACGAACCACCGGACCCCGGACGTCCTGGTCCGCGAGCCAGCACGAGACCGGTTCAGGCCCTGAAGATAGCGAGGTCGGTAGCGAGCAAAGAGCGCCGAGCCTGGCGGAGAAGGCTGCAAAACGGAGCCTTTTTCGGTGTTGATCCTGTGTTGAGACAAACGCAAAAAAAAGAGTTGATTAAGGTGATTTGGTGTTGTTTCTGCAGGTGCGGGATATCAAGAACCGATTCTTTGGAGGACAGTTTGATGTGATGCTCAGTGTCACTGACCCTTTGGACACCTATGGTTGTAGCGTGATATCAAAAGTCCCTGAACAAAGCCTTCGCCCTTGAATGAAGTACCACCAGAGCTTCTCCATGCCGATCTGGTTCCGGAGCTCCAAAGTAGTTACAGTAGATAGTTTGGGTTTTCAATGCTCCAAGCGTTTCCATACCGCTGGTATCCGCTAGTTCCTTATCACGTTCCGACAAAACTGCGATCAAAACCTCTGCCACCCCTTGCTTTAATATCCTTCTCAATTGCCGTGAAGGACTTCAAGACGTGCCATTTTACAAAATCAATGGCGAGCCCAGCAGAGGAGATTTTGCAAAATCTGCTTTGAAAAATCTGCAACTAGCCAGTGTGGACGTGCGCAGCATTCTTGCTGACTGTTTGTACTAAGGAGCGTCACGTGGCCCATCAAAATTGCGTGAAGAACATTTGAAAGGCCTGGATCGTGCAGTGAAAGATGGAGTTGACTCTCCAGCGCTTTATCTAACTTTCCATCTTGTGTCGCAGCATGGAAAAAAACAGAACGGCACCATATTCTGGACCAGGCTGGACTAGGGAATCTTTCCAAGGAGGCTCGTTTTTCTGACCATTTGCGTTTCAACGCTGGTCGCAGCTATGCAAGTCACTGGTAGAGGGAAACTAAAACTACAACTACTACTACTACTACTACTACTGCTACTACTACTACTACTACTACTACTACTACTACTACTACTTGTACTTGATTGAGGTCAAGCGAATCTTCCTCCAGCAAAATGTGACCCCTGTGCCTTTCAGGAAATGGAGGAGATCCTGTGCTTGCAACTGGTTCTTAATGGTTCTTATATGTTGTTGTCTTGTCTCCCATCTTTTTCATAGAGACCCGCCAGGACTACCCAGTACAGTAGCGCCTAACCCCAGCAGCGCGATGCTGGCACGAGCATGTGGAGCACGGTGATTGGTTAGGCTGCGGACCAGACCTGGGAAGTCAATCGGTTGGAGGTGCTACAAGGCTCATCCCAAGCTGATTCTCGGTTGATGTATGGGATATTATGGGATGATTCTGGTGCGTTTTGTTGTTTCGTTCGCTTCTGGACATGGCATAATGTTAGGGGATGCTGGTTCTCAGCCACCTCAGCTGGAATTTTGAGCAACAGATCGAGTGCCAGCGGTATTGAGGCATTAGGTACAGGATATGTACACAAGGCACAGAGTAAAGGACCAATGTGGCAACAAAGAGGCTACTTTACTATAGGATCCTTTCAGTCTGTCATTTAATTTGTCACCCTTCCACACCCAGAAACCCTCGTAAGCAATGATGATGCTTCCTCCCTTTGCGTCGAAGGCTCACTTTCTACCAGGAGGATTCCCAATATTTTGTTCTTTCCCAGATTCTGGGGTGTGTACCTTCCAAAAACCTGTTCCTTAATTACTTCAAAAAGGCTCATTATTTGCTGGAGCCCACACCAGTCACCAAACCGTCTTAAACCGTCAATGCTTCTCGCCAGGCTCACTGATCCCCCGAGGCTCGAACCGGGAGCGCTCCGCGCTGGCCGTACACCGCTGCGCCACGGAGCCTGGGGCCATTCGGGCGAACCACAGCTGGGTGTGTTCGTTGCTTCCCCAAGAGGACGATTTGTCGTTTCTGTTGGGAAGACGATGTTCGAACCCGAATCAGGGGACATCATGGGTAAACATGATGTAGAACGCCATGAGTCCAGATGTTAGTAAGGAGGGTAAGCAATTATGCAACTCCAGTTGCTTAATGTCATTTCTGCCATCATCTTCGTTACGGTCCCACTGTGTTGACTTGGTGCATGGCCCGCTTGCCCGGGCAGCACCCAGCTCTCACCGACTTGGAGCTGCAGTGCAAACCTAATTGCTGACCATGGTCAGTTCTCTAATGAACTGGGTAAAGGTGAGTGATGGTGAGTGTCGACCCTGGTGAATGATTTATCTGCGCAGGGTCATGAGCTTCCAACTCCCTAAGATTTGGACGAATGACAAGGGAGCGCACCAGGGGCTGCGTGGCTTGCCATTCCGCCACCACTCGTGGTCGCAAGCGTTCCGAAAGCATGGCTGTCAGAGCCTACTCAAATATTTGTTCCAATGTTCATGCAAGAGAGCATCACCAAATTCTTATGTATTGCGAAAACATATCCGACCATATTCAAACCATGTATACTATTGCGTAACTTATGACTCATATTATATATAAGGATAATTAAGGATATATAAGGAACAATTTGCCGCGGTGTGTAGGTATGTTGCTTGATGTTGCTTGGCGATAGCATAACTGCTTAGCTCACATATATTATTGGGGTTCTGTCATTCCGGGAAAGCAACACCGAACAGCTTATCACATGCATGCCCCACTGGGTCACGTGCCATCCTCGGTGCATGTTCTATAACTGGATCCCCGAGCTCCTGAAAGCACCTGGATTGGTATGTGAAGAGTTGCATCTGTCTCCTGACTCCTGCATGAGTTGCTGCATGAGTTGCTGGAATCCTCCTGAAACTGAGTTGCTCCATCTCCGAGAAACGCTTCTGTTTATGTAGCTAGCTTCGAGCGACATGCTTGGAATCTATGCTCTGATAAATTTACCTGTTAAAGAAATGAGGGATGATACAGAGTAGCTCTTGTTGCTACTTTTGCAAACATGTACTTAGCGACCAAATGCTGGAGATGTACATGGCAAGAAGCATTGTTCGGACTGGTCAAAAAGGGTCAAACATCAAGCTCTTCGCCCAAAAGGATCCTGCAAATCATGGAGCACACCTCAATCCAAAGGCAAAACACAACAGGTGCATGGGTCTCTGATCGCAGGTCGGACCCGCGACTCCGGTTTCGACGTATCGACGAAGTACGAAGTACTGAGCGTGTCGATTCCCGAACACAACTTCCAACGGCACGGTTCGCTACATCATGGACGACAAAAGAACCAACTTCCCCCACAAACAAGGGGTTCTCCACTTCCATGTTTTGTTGGAGGGAGGGTGAAGTTTACCCAACTAAACATAGACACTCACCCTGCTGATGTATGTTCTGCATGTTGACACACTCGGGGTTTCATATTTTTTGTGCAATGGCATCAGAATTCAAACCTGTACAACCTACCAAACACAGGACAATTCGGTCTGCAAGTCATGAGACTGTGCAGGCAATACAAGGGCTGAATTTGGTTGGCTAAACTCTACTCACATTGGCAAAGCTCTCTCTCTCTCTCCAGCGTTTTTGCGTGGTCCCCTTGGACGATCTTCAATGGTTTCATGGGGGGCACCAAGAAGATTGAGGGCGTCTGACAAGTGAGAAGGCGAAGGAGAACAGTTGTGCAAACAAATAACTCCTGACTCCTGCCTTCACTTGGCTTTGGATCAAAACCACTGAACCTTGCTTAACCGTTAACCCATCAAAAAAATTAACTGAATGCACTGGATCCACCAACCAGTCTTTGGAGCCTCGATCTCGCGCTCAGAAAGAACACACCCCGCCGCATTTCTATGCACCCTTCCGCATGATTGAGGAGAACTATCCAGGTTTCTACCCACCGCCATTGACGCTTACACTCCCTGAAACAATCATGGTTACAAGTTACGCGGATGGCATGGCCGGAAGGACCCGGACATCCGCTTCAGCGTCTGACCCCGAGCGGACCCGACCGGTCCGGTCCGCGCCTGCATGCAGGAAGGGCCACAGGTGCAAATGCTCCGCTGCATGAAGCCCTGGACACGATTTCATCTCCTGCACCGAGACGCGGCGACGCTGGAGACAGACGAGACGGTGTCGGGTTGACCTGCGAACGCAGTGAGGCCGGTGAGTCGAGTGGGCCCATATGACCGCGTCGAAATCATGGTCAATGCCAGTTCGGGGTTCGCCACTCCCTCTGCAAACATGTGAAATTAGAACCATCTAATTACCACTAGAAGCCTCTTCTCATGGTAGGTTCCACGGTTCTGGAGATAAACTATCCATGTTAGTGAGTCAGAGTGTATTAATTATGATGGCAAATCTGGTTTCACCACATTGGACACCATGTCTTCCAATTAACTTGTCAACCACGTGCCACTATCCTCGCTCCAAGGCCCCTTCAGCCTTAACGACAGGGCCTTCAGCTCATACGTTTGGCCAAATATGAAGAAAAGCCATATTATAGAAAAAAACTGTGGATCATGGCACCCGGAGCCCCAAATTCTGGTAGCTTTGACCCAGGTAGTCCATTCTATTCATTTTCAGTGGTCAACCTGGCGATCCCCTGGTGCCATGACCCAGCCCGCCACATGAGCCCCTGCCACATCAGCCATCACAGGGGGCGAGAACGACGGACCCCGTGGTTGGGGAGATCACCGACATGGATCACCTAGGTAATGAGGTGAAGTGATTCAAATTGCTAATGGAAAGTGGTTCCCTTTTTCATGAGCCAATTTTTCCCTTTTTCATACAGTCTCGGCTGATCATTTGCCAAGTTCGCCTCCGCTCGGGTGGAGTGCGTCCAGAAGGAATACATGCACTTGTCGTGCACAAGAATTAGCTTCCTGACAACATCCTTCCATGTATGACTATGGAACCATGTGGATCATCGCCATCACAGCAGCACCTATCGCATAGAACGACCCCCCCCTCCTCTGGCAGATCCTCACATCCTCGATGGCGCCGATAGATGGCATCAGACCGAAAGAGACGTCCCATGACCCGAGCACGCTCCGGGATCAGCATGGTCTTGCCTGCCAAAGATGGTACATGGATGATCAGGACATGGAGGCGATGTGATTGAGATTGGAGAATCATGCTGGGATGATGCATCATTCAAAGCGATTGTGCGATTTAGACATTATGTGGAATATATATATATATATACACATTATACATTATATATATTATACATGATGTCATGATATATACAATTAGAGGCACCCTTGAATCATCTTGAATCAACTGTGTACCGGAAATGACTCTTGGATGGTAGTCATCGTGGATCTCTCTTTTTCGGACACCGATGGGACACCGGACGGACACCCGCCATGCCTGGAGCCAAGTATGGCGATGCCCAGGCTTTTCGTAAGGAGTCCAACACCCCTTCGCCGATCAACACCTGGGTCAACGCAACGCTATGGGCCAGTGGCCGGTGCCGGGCGAAAAAGGGAGAGAAAACGCCGGTGTCTTGGTGAGGGGGAACAGCAATCCTATCAGAGGGAGCAGGCTTCGGGTCTCTTAAATCGGCTGAAAAAGACTTTGCTGAGACACTGGGACAGCCCCACCCCTCCCTCTTTAGTCCCCATGAAGCTATAAAACCAATTGGCAAATCAAACTTAACTCTCTCATTTTGATACAACATCTTTGGAATCTTCTCTGACCATTGCATCTGGCTGTCCCAAACTGAGTTTCATCTGGCTGTCTAGCACCAAGGTGGTCAAAAAGTACTTACTGTAGTTCAAACCTGCTCTGCGGAGTCTTCCAGTGAGCACGGTAAAAATGCCAAGTTCAACGGAAACATCTGGTCTCCTTGTCCAAACTCCTAAGAATAGTTATATACTGTATCTAAACTCCAGATCTAGCTTCACACCGGATTTCCAGAAGGCAAGAGGTGAGGTGGACAGGCATGGTGATTGGACAGTGAAAAAGAAGGATGTTTCAACTTTAGTGAGTATGTCTTAACATCCAGTACAGAACTGCACCAGCTGAAGTACTTTTGGGGCACAGTGCTAAGCTACAATCACTCTTGGGTACTGAGCCACAGTGCCCTCAAGGCAACAAAGGGCAATATATATATATTATATCATTCAACACATACAGGCTTCCTTCAGTGGATAGAATATGGACCATCTCCCACACATGACAATATTGCACTACTTCTGAGTCAATGCACGACTATATTGACTATCCTACTATTGTTGTTTTTGTTATTAGAAGTAGTAGTCGTATGTTCAACACTTACTTGTTTTTTGATCAGATGTGTCATCTAGCAGCCAGCAATTCATCTAGCAGCCAGCAATAGATCAATATATATATATATATGATATCATGATATCATGTGTGTCTCTTTCTCTACAATATATGATTGTATCTATAGTTATATATATATAAACATGTACATAGAAGTACAGTACATCAAAAATCCATGGAAACCTCAGTGTCCACGTCCGGCCAAGACACCGAATCCAGGAGCTCTGACACACACAGGTCGAAGGGTTCAACCTGTGGAGGATGCCAAATCCGACGCACCGCACCACGGACGGGTGTGTATTTGGGACCTTGCAACCAATGGAAGTCTGCCGAAATACACACTCCGACGCACACCTCACGTTTCGTGGACCTGTAAAGGAAGGTCGTCTTCCGTCCAAGGACCATGCCATCCGATGTAACACTGTAATCATGTTTTCTGTGTTCGTCAGAGGGTAGCCGGATTTTACTGAGGATTCGGGTCCCAGGAATATGTCTAGCAAAGCGACTGATTTCAGAGTTGAACTTTGTGCATCGCGTGACTGATCTTCTGCGCCCAAACCCCGCTCTGAAAGGAAACCATCTCTGGACTGAAATCACCAAAAAGGGCGAACTGTTGAAAGTGAAAACTGACCTGGCACAAGAAACGTGCCACGAAACAAACGGACTCTCCCCAAATCGCTTTTGCAAAATGCCAGGTGCCTGGCTGCGCACCGAGTCAGCCCAGTCATCCGAGTCAGCCCAGGTGCTTCTTCTCCGGGCAATACAACGGATTCCTGGGAGTAACTCCCTTGCTCTTCAACTACACTCATGGATATTGGATAGACACTTCATTTCACCCATCTTGCAGGACATTTGCCCTGCATCGCTTGCTGGCACACCACCCGCGCACGCGGTGTACGCGGCAAACGCGTCCTGAGAGGTTGCAGAAGAATGGAGAAGATCGTTGGAATGACCCTCCCAAACTCTGCAGCAAGACTCCTGAGTGCATCGATCGGAGGCTTTAGGAAACGTTTGTGCAGGTTGCGGCTGTCAGGGGTGCTGCTTCTCAAGGATAGGGGGTGATGTTGGAAGGTCTTGAACCTGACACTTTATCACCAATCTCTTCTCCAAAGAGTGCTGATGAATTAAATGGTTTGAAAGACAAGGGAAGCCACATCCGGTAGCAAACAAACATGGTCTCCTTTCCAGCCACATCAAAAGCACTATCAAAAGCAAATCGATTCCCACGGATCCAACAGCAAACAAAAAGTGCAACAACATCCGCTTCCCTTTGCCATGCAGCTGTTTTTGACCTGAACCATCAATCTCAATGAACTTGCAACAATTGGAGCCTTTACTTCATGTTTTGGTCACATCCACCAACATGACATCAGAGTCAAAACAAAAGAAGGAACTCAGACTTGGAGACGCAGCTCCGTGGATGGGCTTCCTCCGCACCGAGCTGCTGCCCCGTTGCGCTGCAGGTTCTCCCGTGCCACGGAGGCTAAGGGTGGACAGGCCTCGATGAGCACCACACGAGAACAGCGGCCTCGTCGCACGAAGCCCAGGGATGCCAGATGAGTTTGTAGTTTTTTGTCCTTTAATTATAAGGGGGGGGTAGGCCGCTACCAGAGGTAGCTAGTAGTAGCCAGGTAGGTAGCTAGTAGAGATGAGGTAGCTACTACCTAGAAGAACGCTACTACCTACTGGACGCAGGATAGCTCACGCTTCTTCAAGGAAGCTCCCCCTGCCGCCCTACAGGTGGCGGGAGAAGCTTCCTTCAAGAAGCGCTCGCACTAATGATTTGGTTTCTAGATTTTTGGGGAAACTTAACTTATATGGGGGCTTCACTGAATGGCTTGGTGGTTCCCACAGTTCCCACACCAACTTGGGTTTCCTGATAGAGCCATTGTGCGGGAAGGGTCTGACCTGCCTCATAGTAACTGGCATGTTTGGGCTAGAGGAAATGAATCTTGCTGCTTCATACAAACATATGATATAACAATACAATATATATATATATGTATATATATATATTATACAGTATATGTTAAACTGCATCTAGACAGTTTCTATGATATACTCAGCTAGGCATTGCCGACTGTGGTAGCATACAACTGATACGTTATATAAATGTAAAGGAATCCATTATTGTACTTTTTCCTTAAAAGTTTCTCACTTGCTTTAACACTTGCTTTGATCATCCGGCTAAACGACGTTACAAAATACCACCCGCGTGTGAATTATCTATCAGGATGCAAGCCACATACTTAACATGGTGTTCGTACGTTTCTCATTTTGTGGTGCCCTATTGATTCTTTGATCCTCCGTTTTGTCCTGCCCAAGTATTAAAATGGCGTATGCTGATCGTCGTCGAAGGCCATCCAGGACAAACATGCTGGTTCCAAGGAGGCTTGGCCAGAGCTGGACATGCCTTCTTTTGAGACAGATTTTTGGTAAGGGCTTGGAAGGCAAACTCTGAGCATCTTCGACACAGTTTTCTTGGAAAACATACGGACTCTCAAACTCAGCGAGCGAAATATCATGAAGTCTGCCAGTGTGGAACCATCTAGATCCATCAACGCGAGTTGTTTGCCCCCAAAAAAGCCAACTGAAGAAGCCAAAATGCATCTCACGGAGACCATCCACTGGTAGCAAGTGAGGGGAACCTCCCTTCCGAACAACTGGTCCCTGAAAGCTTGAAAAACGTCAGCGCGCACCCAGGTGGAAGCCGAAAGGAGGCCAAGGACGCTATACTGGTCGAACAAGGACGCTATACTAGTAAGCTACGTGCGTCTGCGCCTGTTTGCCAGCAAAGAAGACCCAATAGGCCCGCACCACTTCCTGTCGACCGTCCGTCCCGCTGCGATGCAGTGGAGCGATGCAGCGCCGCTCCCAGCTGACGGTGCAGTGTCGGAAAGACATCAACCGGTGTAACCCAGCTGACCTCTTTATGTTGCTTGGATCAAGCAGGCCATATCACATATGAACATATATATATATGTGACGTATGTTGTTATATATACATTGTATATGTTAGAGTAGACTCAAACAAAGAGCTGGACGGGAGGTCTGGAACATGCGACGATGTCAGGTTCAGGTGCCACTTTATACCAGCCAAACCTTTACAGCAATAAAACACTCTTGCACCAAATGATCGTATAATATATCAAACAAATGACAAAACACCAAACTGTCTATCAGCCATGCCAGTTTCAGCTGACCAAAACCCTTTGTGAATAACTACCATCATCTACCATACTGACATGGATACAACATGATAGAGTTCAAACAAAGATGCCAAAGTCCTGCTGTTTGGGAAACTGGCAGATTCCAGCCACCTGTGGAAGTTCCTCCCAAATTCTGGCATTGAAGGTCTGGTTCCTGCCCATCGATCCTGACTTCGTGTGAGTTGCCTGGGCCAAGCCCTGTGCAGTGCTGGACCACTCTCAGTGCTGATTACATTGAGACCTTGCCTCTGTGGCGGCAGCTTTCCACAATCTTCTTTTTCATAGTTATTTGAGAATCTTCCAGTGATGGTGAACCAGGGCTCCAGTGTTGTTCATTCCCATTCCCATTTGACTTCCACCATGTCTCCTAAGTCCCAGCAGCTGGAGAAGCGAGCCAAAGCCGCTCCGGGATCGCGTTCAGCAAAACCACTCGTGGCACAAAAAAAAGACCGGCTCCAGTGCCTGATCTGCTGCTTGCCCACGTTACGCTGTAAAACTGCTACCGTGCATAGAGTAAAATCAAACGCCAAAACATCTCGAAGAACAGATTTTTCCAGAATCGTGGTTCGGTGGTTTTCATGTGTTTTCCATCCATTTGGGACACCACACTAGTCACTAGTCCCCAATATATCCCACCAACTGCGTCCGACACCGGTCGGGCGTCCTATATCCACAGCGGTCAATGGAGTCCACCGTTCTGAACTCGTCTTCCTCGTGCGAAATGGACGAAAGCCAAAGGGAACAGCTTCTTGGACCGTCCAAGGGGAGGGACAAAGCCTGTGGCTTGGTATAAGTATGGTGTACTCGAGTTTCGATTGCATGAGTATGTATAGTATATAATGATTAAGATTCCCTGTGGAACTACCGGTGTACCTTGGGACGTGATTGTAAAATGATAGAACGACAAACCAGGCTCCGAGGGCAGTTTGCCCCACTATAGAATCATATATCAACCTGCTGCAGTGCTGGAGACATGTTCTCTATAGAATGAGGTGCCTCAGGGTATTGGTGTTCATTATCGTGAAAAATGTATAGCAACAAAAATGGAAACATTATTTTAGAAACATGTTGGACAAAAGTGGCCAAAGAGGTTGGTGTTGATTTTATAGAGAAATTACATATTCTAAACCTTCTACTACTCCAAATGCTTTCAATACATTTCAATACTACAAAATGAAATATCAACCTACAGTACCTGACCTCACAACACACCATCCACTCTGAAATCAGTTCTCAACCTTCTACTACTCCAAATGTTTTCTATACAATCAAATGTTAGGACCTCTATTGTAAAAAGTAACATATAGAAAATGGGGACATGTCGTGTCCTCTGTCGGCATCCATTTTGCGAGAACAAACTGACTTTTTTGACCCCATGTTTAAAATGTGGTGTCTTTTTCAGGTAGATTGATATTTCATTCCATAAGAAAATTGTCTATACAAACTTAGGGTCCTTTTGAGCTCAAGCTCTCACATCCTTGTGCAGCAGTCATCCAAGTAGGACTTGTCAGGCTAAAAAACAGACCTCTGGATACCTCTGGTCCAGAACAGGCCGAGACCCATGATGACCTTGCGCCCGAATGTTATGATCCCGATGTGGCCTAAACATGCTGTTGTCCAAATCTCTGAAGCATTGGGATCGAGTGGAGCTTTGAGCGAGCCCTCGTGCTAAGCGTGGAGAAGAAGATTAATCAAGTAACCTTCCAAGTGACGCAGCATTCGACCCCTCAAAGTTTTGTTTCACCTACATTTTCCAGATGTGATTATTATTGAAAAGTGTTGCTTCACCATGTGAATATTTTCAAAGTGTCCCTTCACCTGCACGTTCCAAATGTGTTGACCTTTCAAAGTTTTGCTGCACCTGCATTTTCCAGATGTGATGACTCTTTTTTTTTGCTTTCCCTTCACCTGCCGGCTCTACCAAGACTGCTGACTGCAGGGTGCCAGCAGGCTCGTGTGGCCAGCCACACTGCAAGGAAAGCACCTCATCGTCCAAAGTGCATTTGGCTTACCAACCATGGAATCAATCCCATGTTTCTGGCTCCAGCTTCACATTCTTGTTCGCATCTCCGAATGCCGCATACTTCTTCTCTCCAAGCCCATTCGGCTTGCAACACACTGCGCAAAAGTCGCGTCTGCTTCACCATCATCTCCGGCGTGTCTGCTGCAGCGCTCCAATTTGAAGACCCGAATTCCAACCGGTCAGAGCCCAATAAATTTGATCATCCACGAATCCACACCAACACAAACGATCCAAACATTCTAGAACTACATGATCAACCCATTTGACCTCCTTTTTGGTAGAAAAAAACACACAGGATATTGAATGACAGGTGATCAATCCTCCAAAAAGCATCACATCAACGAACCAGAGGTCACTCTGTCAGGTTCTTGGCATATGACCCTGAAAGGTGATGACCCTTCCCGGTCAAAAGGTGATGACGGTCATGACGTGGGCGATGAAGGAAGCTTGAACGAAACTCCCTCCTCCTTTCCGTTGCAAATCAATCTTCCTTTTCCGTGTGCTGGATCCAAAAACTGATGAATGATATCATAATACTATATGACTATTATATATATATATATTAATACTTATAATACTTATCACACAACCTCTTGAAGGACGTATTCTTCGGTTCATTTGGGTACCAAGAAAATCAGTCTGTGGGGTATTGAAAAAGGTCCAGGAATCTTCCCCAAGCTAAGTTATGCTTTCTGGTGCCAGATCCAAAGCCCACCCACCGCTGCCATCACTGTTCGGCGCCTCTCCACAGCCCGTCGAATGGCTTCCGCATAGGCCTGGCGAACAAATCTGCACAAACGTTGCCATTCCAGAGAAGCAAAGCTGGGCAAGCACGAAATGGGCTGACCAATTTTGATAGTGTGGCTACACCAAAGGAGGTGACTTACCTTCTGCAACCACCAGTTGTACCCACCCAACGCCGCTTTGCAAAAGCGTGCTTGAACCTGTCCTTTCTTCAGAGTCCATCTTGATAGCATCGGCACAAACTAGAAAAATCAACCTGCTGGAACACACTGCCCTGCTGGTACGATCTGGTGGTGGGCCTGTAAACTTTCTTTCTAAGGATTTTTGGGGTGTGGTCTCCAAGCTTGTGGTCTCCTTCGTCTCCGACTTCATTTCTTCAACTAGCTGTGGCCACTTGCTTCTCCTTGCTTCTCAGGATGACACTGCAGGAGCTTTCTGTGTCTTTTGGATCTTTCTGCCTTACAGATCATCTCTGTCAATGGATCTTGGAGGGTATCCATCCGTGCTTCTCAAACGTCTGGTGGGTACCCAGAAGCACAAACGCAAACCGAAACCGCGGCTCTCCATCAATGGATCTTGCCTCGCTCTGGCACGAAACACAAGTGAGGATACATGCCACAAATCATTCTGTTCTGTCAGCTTTGTCGTTGGATGTCGGGAAACATGTTAGCGTGATAAAACATAATCACATATATATATATACCAGGACCTTCAAAGTGACCTCTTTGGAGTCTGTAAGTGACCTCTTCAGGGACTAAGTGACATCATTCTGGGATCTCAAAAGGTCACTTTGAAGGTCCTGGTATATATACATATATTGCACAGATTATATAAGCTTGTTGGTATGCTAAGGCCACTAGTTTGAACAGAACATGGATGAACATCGGCTCTAATATCAGTCTTCCCAACAGATTCTACAGAAATGCCCGGAATCATCCACCAGTCACTCTTTGCTGGTCTCGATCGAATTACTAACATTTGTTTCGGTCACCAAATAGAATTCCACCTCATTCCGCTCATGGTCGTAGAGCATGTCGAAGTGGCCCTGAAAGCCATCCAACGATGCCATCGCTGTGAGTTCCGTGGTGGACAAGCAGCGGACCCGCCGTGGAACAAAGCTGCCGGGAACCCGATTGACCTCTGTTTTGACGGGAAACGAAACGAGTTATATAAATACACATCTGCATGATGGCGATGGCATGATTCGATCCTCGTGAATCCAGCTGCAAGTGGCTATGTTTGAGTGGCAACTAGCATTCCCTGAGCAACTTTTCACTGTGGCGGGGTGCATCCCGTACTTAGGCTTTAAGACCCATAACCTACCCATAAGGACACCTGAGTTCATTACTTTTCAAGGACAATTGTCAGCTCAGGGGTCTAGCTTTTCAGGTGCAGGTCTCAAATCTGTGAAACACCATTTGATTCTGTGAAATTGGAACATCGGCATCGCTCGACCCAAGACCAAGCTAGGAACCTGTACTCCAAATGGGGGTTACGTGTCCGCTGAAAAGGGAGTCCGTTCTTGCTTGGGGGCTTGCTGCGGTTTTTGGGATTCACAGTGGTAGCGGAGCCCGGCAACGTCCGGGTCTCCCCCCCCTTTTTGGTTTGGGGTCGACTCCCTTTTTGGTGGGACACTTAGCCCCCGCTTGGAGTTGTGGCTTTTGGGATGGCCGGACAAACTCAGGCTGTCCCGCCATCGGATGGCGATCTGGATGAACCCGTAGGAGGATCGCCAGCCGCAGGTTCACCCGGCGCGCCCGATGGCATGGGGTCTGACCGCGAAGCCTTTCTTCGGTTCCAGAGGTTTCTCCGTCTGGAAAGGGAGCAAGAAGGGCGCGGTCTTCGCGGACGACGTCGTCAGCGAGACGACGAAGAAGAAGAAGAAGATGGAGGTGGCGATGGCCGGGGGTCGGCTGGACCACCACCATCTTGGGACGGCGTGACGCCCTTTGAGGACTACTTCATAAAGGCAAAGCTATGGATCGCCACGGCCAAGGCCAAGGGTCGATCTCGCGGCCCCCTACTGTTGAAGATGTTGAGCGGCGCTCCATTCGAGCATTACAAACACTGGGCAAAAGACCCAGAATGGATGGCTGACCCTCATGGCGCCGAGCGGCTCCTCAACGACATGGACACCCCAGAGAAGTATGGAGACGATCAACAAGAACACATGCTCACCGCCATGTCAAGGATCACCTACCACCTGAGGCGCCAACGGAACGAGACCTGGCGAGAGTACTTTGCGAAGTGGGATGGTGCCATTCGCAAGGTCCACCAACACAAGATCACCCTCCCGGAAGAGTATGAGGGCTTTCTGATGATCAATGGCCTTCAGCTCACCGAGACCGAGACCAAGGCAATGCTGAACTACACTCATGGATGCATCAAGCCGAGCTCCATCAAGAGCTGGCTGAGGAAGAACGAAACCCGACTGTCAGCTGCAGAGTTGGGAGCTGATAAGAAGAAGAACCAGGTCCACTCTCTCACGGAGTTCGAGGGACACCACATCGAGAATAATGACATCGAGGAGAACGACGAGGACAAGGAGGAGATCGATGAACTTGAGCAGTGCATCATGCACCTTCAGGACGACGCCGACGGTGACACAGTCCTTAGTGAAGGTGAGGCTGCCGAGATCCTCTCCACCTACGTGCAGCAGAAGAAGACCTACACCCAATCGATCAAAAATAAAAAGGCCAGAGAACTGGCCCGTGGCTACGGAAAGCGACCACCTCCAGGAGGATATGATCGAGGATCCGTCCGGGACAGACCACTTCGACCGGGCTCGTATTCGGTCACCATAGCTGAGCTTCAGAAAAGAACTCGCTGCCGCAACTGCGGCCAGATCGGACACTGGAAGCGGGACTGTAAGAATCCGCCTCAGAAGAACCCGGACTTGAAGACTAACGAGAGCCACTACTTGGAGAACACCGATGAGGCATTCTTCATTGGACACCTTGCCGAGGACGTGCTGGACTTCGAGTCTGACCCAACGATCCTGGAAGCCAACGCCATGAACCTGGCTACGAGGTCTCCTACCAGTACTGAGCGGCATGGAGAGACGACTCCCCTGAGCCCGGCCGGTAGGAACTGGCAGCCAAAGGTTGGCTCTGCCACGGATGCTGAACGCCCGTCCGCGTCGGCATATATGGAGAGTGACCTTTTCCGTCCGACCGGTGTTGAACACTTGTTTGTTTTTGAAAACATGTTTTGCAACCTCGTCTCCAAGTCTCCCCAACCTCAAGATATGATGGACGCAACTTGTGCCACCGTCGATACGGGATGCCAACGACTTGCCATTGGTGCACGAACACTTCGAGAGTTCGCTCAACACCTTCCTGAACCCCTGAAGATCACCCTCACTCCCGAAACAAATAGGTTCAGGAGCGTGCATCAGACATCAGTCACGTCCAAGGTTGCTACAATCCCATGTTCTTTGGGTACCAAGGGAAGCTTCCTGAAGCCCGCTGTCTTCGAAAACGAAGAAAGCTCAGGTGCGCCCTTCCTCATCTCTCTCAGCTTCCTACTCCATTGTCATGGAGAAGTTATCCTTTGTCATGAACAAGGCCTCCAATTACGGCTTCGAGGAACTCCCGAACCAGTTCCCCTTCACCTTGGCCCAACTGGTGCTTTACGAATTCCACTCCAACAATACAACCAGATGCAAAAACAAGCGCTCGAACGAGAACAAAACTTGATGAACCAGAGCACTTCGGTCGAGTTTGAGGTCTTGAAATTGCAAGATGGCTGCATGGAACCGCCGAAGCCGAGTACCACTCAAGCCACGAGCCCTTTTGCTACTCCGCACTCAGCTGCTTGCCATGCAAACCGCTGGTCAGAAACGTGTTCGGGCCAGTCCGACTCTCGAAGAAGAAGACCTTCAACAGCATCGAGTTCTTCAATCGTGGTTCCGCCTGATGAGACGATTTCTACTGGTTCTGATGCCCCTTCAGCAGATGCTGGAAAGGTTCATGGACCATATGCTCAGCACCAAGCCACACCGAGAGGCCCTGAAGGAGATGATTCGAGCCCTACCAGACGAAGATCTACCGATGATCCAGAATGTGGCCCGCCAGGAAATGAATCGGCGAGAAGATACTGGTCATCGACCTCAGGAACAAGGACACTGGTCCAACCTCAGCGAGACCAGCACCCATCCAGCTCGTCGACCACGACCTCCTCCAGATCCCGTCCTCACCGAAAGGTGTCGGCAGATCAACAGCCTACCAGGCATCGAGATGATCTTGGAACCACGTCCGAGGTGTCATTGCGCCCTTCAGTGCAAGATCCACCTCAGCGACTCGGGCCCGACGGGACACAACTACGAGAAGCTGTACTTTCGATGCCCCCTGGAACTGGGACATCAGTGCCGCTTCGTCCAGTGGTGCGAACAGCAGCCTCTTCTGAGTCTGGAAAGCTGGCGTCACCGGCAACAGCCCGGCGACGAACCTGTGAGCTACACACAGATCTTAGAGGCCATGATCCAAACCAAATGTCAACACAAGGAGACACATCGAAAGGGTTCGAATGCCTATCTCACCAAGGTCACCTGTCGCACGTGCAACAAGGTCATCAAGTCCGAGAAGATCGGGAAAACGGAAGAGGGAAACAAGTCCAAGGCCAGCACGACGTCCTCAAGCTCGGCCCCACCATCACGCCAGGGGATTCCCTCTGCAGCGACTCCCCAAACCACCTCGGATGGAACCGACCTGGAGCACCTGACCGACTACCAGGAATTTCAAGAATACCTTCGTTGGAAAAACCAACGACAACCTCCGAGACGGGAGGAACAGTGAGACAGGTCACCCCGAAGCTAGAACGGAAGCTTCGGGCTGCCATTAAGAAGGCAACAGCTTTTTGGCGAGAGCTTCAATTGCTGCTGGCTGATACGCCCTTGCAGCACTGGGCTCAGGTCTTAAATGACGAAATTTGCCAGGAGTTCACTCTGAATCCAGCCGGCACAAAAAGATCTCGCGAGATCGCCGAAGTCATGGGGTTAACTGTTAAACAACTTAAGACCGTTGCCGAAGTGTACAATCCTGGTTGTTTCCAGAAAATCACTGGTCGTTTTCATTTGTCGCCCGGTCGCGCTTTTGATTTGAGTCTAGGAGACGATTTGTTAAACGAAGACAAACAAAACGAAGTCATGCAGTATGTCAAGGTCACTAAACCAGGACTTGTTTGCATTGCACCACCTTGCAAGATGTACACTCAGCTGCAAAACCTCTCCAAAGAGAAACGTGCTCGACTGCCGGACCTCATGAAACGATACTTGAAAAACAAGGCAGAAGGTGACAGGTTATTGATTTTTGCCATTCGGTTGTGCGAATTCTGCGACGAACTCGGGATCAAGTTCATATTTGAACATCCACATGCCGCTTCCTCCTGGAAACACTGTGCCATGGAGCGGCTGTTGGATCGACCGAATGTCATCTACACCAAGGCTGACCAATGCCAGTACGGACTGCAGGGTCAATCAGGCCTTCCCCAAAGAAAAAGAACCGGATTCGCCACGAACTCAGAAGCACTTGCTCAAGCTCTGAGCAAGCTTTGTCCTGGCAATCATGAACACGAAGTCATCATTGGTGGCAACCGGTCTCAACGATCACAGGTATACCCGGAGAAACTTCGATCGGCTATCTTGAAGGCCTACAGCCAGTCCATCAACGTGGACCATGTGGAAGTGGTCAGTTCCGAGAGCATGCTGGCCGAGAACCACCGGCTGAACTACCTCATGGACACCGAGTTCCGGGCCTTAAAGGACCTACAACGGGAAGTACCTGCTGGTCACACCGAATGTCAGGACCCCGATTCCCGAGCACTTGACGAACCAGATTCTCGCCTACCTGACCTACCGGACTATGTTACGGCCGAGATCTTGGCGAACGAAGAGAATCGAGGACCACATGACCGGGAGAACCAAGAGGACGATGGGGAACTACAACCAGAAGAGGAGCAGGAAGAGGGCGAGACCCCGGAGAACCCAGAACAACAGTTACCGCTACATTCCCGTTTTCCCATGGAACGTCTTCTTCACCGAGCACACGTCGGCTTAGGCCACCCGACCTCGGACAGGTTTGTTCGAATCCTTCGGTACGCGAAGGCCAAACCTGAGGTCATCGAAGCTGCCAAACATCTCCGGTGCAGTGTGTGCCAACGACACTCACAGGTAAAACCTGCTCGGAGAAGTGCACCGCCAAAGGAACTGGCCTTCAATGAGTGCGTCGGGGTGGACGTCATCTTCTTACCGACGCTTG